CAGTCAGGAGGACCACCAGGCCTGTTTACGCTGATGGAGACGACGTTCACGAGAACCTGAACGTGTGGAGCACCGTTATGTTTAGCATTGTGTGGGACATCCCAGATTTTCCACCTGATTAGTAGAAGATTTGTTGCCAAGAAGCAGGAAAAAGAAAATCAACTTGTATCAAGTTTAAATCAAGTACCATGGATCAGTGGTTCCCAAAGTTGGGGTCGGGACCCAAAGTGGGGTCCTGAAACATCAAGGTGGGGTCCTGAAACATCAAGGTGGGGTCCTGAAAAGATTTTCTGAATTAATTACATTTTTGCCTTAGTTGCCTAATATGTATGAATGTAGAAGAATACATATTGTTACTGTGCCCGTGTTTAGTTGACCTGATATAAATGTTTATCATCCAAAAATAGCTGGGGGCACAGGTCTCTGCTACTGTTATTTTGTGGGTCAAAAGCTGAAAAGTTTGGGAACCACTGCACTTCAGAAATTAATTAAAAAAGGTAATAAAATAATTGGTGATGGACTTGCGACCTGTCCAGGGTGTACCCCGCCCCTCGCACTGTGACTGCTGGATATGGGCACCAGTGACCCACGCAACCCTGAAAGGMAGAAGCGTGTACAGAAAATGGATGGATGGATGATGTAATATTTCCCTATAATTATTATAAAAACACGAAATAAGTATAAATGAGTATTTATATTTGTGTAGCCTTTGTTTTTAGGGTTATTAACAAAGTTCGTGTACTCAGACCAGTAATATTTGGGGTCACAAATTTTTGCAATGAATATTTTGTGGGTCAGAAGATAAAAAGTTTGGGAACCACTGTTCATGTTCTGAATACAAATATTAGTTTTGGTCAGTCCAACAGACTCGTAGCACTGCAAAGCCTGCATTTATATCAACAATCAGTTTGCTGTATAATTAAGCAAAAACAACTAGATGTTGAGTAGTGAAGCTAAGGTCAATTTTCTGTTTTAGGAAACAAATTCTGCAAAATACCTAAACTTTGCTCTGTTCTTGAATTTAATAACCTAAACGTTGCTTTATGTTTTTTCCCCTTTAAATCTTAAATCTGTGCAACTTTTTCCCCCAAGGCCAACACAAAGATGTGCAGTTTCTCATGTCATCACAAAGGGCACATTATTAAGAAGTTTAACAAAGCAAAAGCTTAACTGCATAAAGCTGTCACAAAGAAAGTGATCAATCTGGAAGCACGTGTGAGCCTGAAAACAACAAATAATCAAACATTTCAACAAAGGCTCCACAGTTACCATGTTTCATCAGACTCATCCGAGCAGCTCAGAGAATCCAAATCTAAAAGCTCCAGCTCGTCCAGAACCGACGGTTCAGACAGGTCCTCCTCCTCCTCCTCGGAACCAGCAGCCTCTTCCCTGGCTCCGTGAGGATGGAAATAGTCGAACGGTTCCTCTGGAGGACAAAACGAGCCCAGAGATGACTGACAAAGCAAGGCGGGCAGCGGGCTGGGGAGGCAGTACCCCGCGGATGAAGGCAGGACATGCGGGCCGCTCACACAGCCCCCGGCCCGGCTCCGCAGCTGCTCGTTCTGCCGCTCCAGCTTCCGGACCAGCTCCTGCAGCTTCTTCACCTCCAGTTCGGCGTTCAGCGTGTTGCTGTTGCAGTCCACCTCCGCCATGGCAGCGGGGCTCAGCACGGCTGCCTCCATACGACCGGAATCTTTGGATCAGTAAATAAAATAAAAAAAAAAGGAGGCGGAGGCGACAGGTGCGGCCACAATGCACTGCGACTGTGTCGACCACCAGTCGCGCGCTTACAACTAGCTCGTGTCGGTATCGTTTTGTTGTCTAGTCTGAAGGGTCTTTTACGGCTTCACCCCTCCGATAAACACGCCCACAAACCTCTGCCTCTCCACCCCCCCCCCGAACAAAGAGCTGATTACAGGTAGACAGCGCACCTGTAGACCCAACTTCACATCCGAACCGAACGAGATGCTAAAACAGCTTCAGTCAGACTGATTCAGAAAAAAAAGTACAGTATGGTGTTTAATAATAAGCTGCTTTATAAAGGACTTAACTTGTAAAGAACTCATTGAAATGACTTCATTAAGGGAGGATGGAGCGCGTGCTCGAGATGATTGAACATTTGGCGACACCTCGTGGTGAAGACGAGCTACAGCACCCAGCGGGAAACCCGGAGGAGTTTTAAACAGGATTTATTTAGTTGACAGACAAGCAACTCGGTACCTCCAATCTATTCCAGAAAAATACAACGTAACAAACATGAAATTATGTTTCCGCAACTTCGTTCCCTTTGCGCTGTAAAGCAAAACCGACAGAAAGGCCACGATTCCCYCTTTTTAAGCAAAAATAGGAACTAATATTTCTCTATTTAAATTAAAATATATAACTTTAATGGGTGATTAGAACTTATCCGAGGTAACTAGATTCAAATTTAGTTTTACCATTTTAACCAAATATATCCCGTCCTAATTATCTCAGTGTTGCATTATGGGTAATGTAGTCGCACTGCATAAAACATATTAAAAAGCCTCTCCACTTTGTTACTCTAGAAAAAAAAAACATTTAAAGTAATTAATACATTTTTGAATGGCCATTGGTATCAAACTTACCCGATATCTCTACTCCCTGCGCCACTACCC